CGAGTGTTCAAGCCCCAACAAGCATCCCTTCCCTCTGTGATCACAGTCACAACCCCAACTCCAAACGAAAGCTGTTAGGCCCGGCGGTCTGCTCCGAAAACCTCTCCTATTTCCATAGGGTCTTCTTGAACGTGGCACCTTGCGATCCTTTCCACCCGCCCCTGCAGAAGGCACCCGAACCGGGGGGCAGACACCACGGCGAGCCATGTTCAGAGCAGATCCAACCTCGCAATGCCTTTTCGTCTACAGAAAGGGCAAACGTCTCCCTGTGGCTCCAGCTCTGAGCGGTCATGCGGCATTTCAGCGGGAGACAGCACGCTCTGTGGACACAGTCAGACAATGACATGCTCTGCGTCCGTGTGCGCATGGTAGCAACCGCTGTGAAGGTTTGACAATGTGCCTGTTACACTTTATGTTCCCGATAGAGGACGAACATGTCAACCTGTCTTTCACGTGCCCCGTGGTATTTTCAGACCGCCCTATGTTTCCTGCTTCCACTTTCAGACACGAATTTCCATCCAAGTTATATGTAATTGCAAGTTACTGCTGATCGTAGAGGGAGCGTTTCCTGGCTCAGGAGTAGCACCGGATACTCACGGAATGAATCAACCCACAGTACCACCTTCGGTCCCAGGGAGTCTGGATACAGTGTACAGTGTAGTATGTATATATTAGTCTGGATATATAGCATGTCGGACACTACGCTATTATCCCTCCCAGCCTACCTGTAAGCTTATTATTCTGTAATGACCATTGTCACCCACGGTTATTTATATTCTTATATTCTTCATATGTCTATGACTTCGTAGAAAAGACAAAACAAAACTGTATTCCATCAACAAAATGTACAGTTCCAGGTGAAACACTGGCAGCAGAGTGAAATACCTTAGGAATGTCTTTATTCCACTCTGTCTCGTGCTGCCTGTATCCGTACTGCCCACGCTGTTGGGGTGGAAGAGGCCCAAGCCAGAGTTAGAGGCATGATGGTTCAGGTCAGCTGACTGCTGGAAAACCTCAATGGTCGCTTTGGCAATGTTGTCCAGGAGGTTATTCATTTCAGCCACCGATCCGGAGCCCTGGCGAGCGATACAAGGGGAGCCATCAGCACACGCGAGCCTCAGTTTACCCTCAGATCGCAAAATGCTTCCCTGTCATTGAGAGACGACACGCCATGCAAGCATCCCACAGATACTCACAGGGTCTTTCAGACACTGTTTGATCATTAGCTGAAGTTCCAACCACGACTGCCTCAGCGTCCACTGCTCAAGATTCTGGGGAGAATGCAGAGGGACAACATGAGGAAGGCGTCTGACCCTAAGAATCATTTCAGGCATATTCCCTCTGTCAAGACAGAGTACAGCGATCAAACAAACACACGTGATTGATATGGGCCAAACAGCTTCCGAGACTGGACATAAAGAATGAATGTATTAGAACGATCGATTCCGCGAAGCACTGGAAGTATACAAGGCAATTATTTTTCTTCAGAAATATACTGATCTACAGATAAGTACCCAGCCCATCCCCGAATGGTTTCAAATCTCAAATGATGTATTGAAGACAGAGCCTCCATGAAGCAAATTTCTCATGTAACTACAATATTGACTTAGGAAGTCTGGCGACTGCATATAATTTATAGCATCTTTTTATATGCTCAGAAAGAAAGTTGGGTAATTACATGTAAAATAAAAATGGAGAAATAACCATCAGAGGTCATTATAACTGGAAGTTAGTTAGCAATGGCGAGAGAGAGAGAGAGAGAGAGAGAGAGAGAGAGAGAGAGAGAGAACGAGGTGCTTACTGAACATTAAGCCCCTGGGTGAGGTGGATCTGGCAAACAGGATTGCAACCTGCATTTACGGCAAAGCTGCCCACATTTTGAAAGGATGGAAACCATCTCTATTGTAAATGAATTCTGTACGGTGATCACCGCCACTTGTTGCACCTACAGATGTTCAGTCACCCCAAGAAGTTTGAATCTTCTCTTGCACTAGAGTGAGACTAAATAAGCATGATTACTTATGTTGTGACTTACAATCAATTACAACTTTTTTTTTCATTGTAGGGTGGGGGAAAGTCTACAGAGTAAGTTTGCTTCCCATCCGAGAATTTACACAGATTTTGTTTCTTGGCACTGGTAGCAAGGCCTCAGTCTAACCACGCTGTCCCTACTTCCGCCTAGGCTCCTAGCTCCCAAGTTTCCTTCTTTCCCCGCCTCCCGCGCTTGGCATACGTGGAAACCTTAGCGTTTTCTATGGTGGGCTGTACTGCGAAGTCATTTTCCCCTGGCGTTATGACTCACTTGATGGGCCTGTCTCTTGTGGGCTTAAAGTTGATCCCCTGTGGTGTGTTCAGCGCTCATTTTGAAAGGTATCTCAGGGCCAGGCAGGCAAGCCTGGTCTTTCCTATGATTTTGAATTGTATTCTCTCTTCTCTGCCCAGGACTTTTGAATGTAATCCAATGCAGAGGCCAGGTATTGGTGGGGTGGGGGTGTCCCCGGGGCATCACTGAGTTCTTCTTGTCCCAGGTGAGGTGAGGGGGTGGTTTATGTTAGCTCTTTGGACTGTTACCAGGAATCTGATTTTTTTCAGTTACTGGCTCTGAAAAGGAGAGGCCAAATGTTGTACCTTACATGGCCATTGGTAAGCTCTTAAGACTGCAGTCCCCAATGGATGGATGGATGGATGGTGATCAGAGCTGGACGAGCCCCCAATAAAATGATTTAAAAAAAAAGGCTCCAGTCCCAACTCACCAAATTAGGATGCACCCCAGTATCATGGTGGATTAGGTTAGGCCAACTGATCTGGAGGTCCCCTGAGACTGTGATCTGGAGTGCCACCCCGCCCCCCACCAGCCCAGAGACAATTCCCTCCGGGGAATGAGTTTGATTGTGGCTAAGAAGTCTGCACCATGTGTCCCCTGCATGCTCCACAATATTATTAGACATGGTGACAGAACCCACAGCCACACACATAGAAACAGTCTCTCCCAAACGGATACTCCCAAGTACTATCACATTCGCCTTTAGCTTGCATGTGTCTGCACATGCATGTTGTTTGCTGTTAGAACGGTCGCAGGATTTCGTATGGGATGCACAGACTCATCTTGTCTTTGACCGTGTGTCGAGAACATGACCTTACATTCTTAAAATACACACTTCAGAAGCCGGGGACTGCCTGTCATCAAAAAGGGCATTTCAAATCTTTTTTTTTTAAATGTTTTTAATTAAAAGATCATTTTATGGGGGGCTCTGACAGCTTTCTAGCAATCCATACACCAATTATATCAGGCATATTGGGACACAGATTGCCATCATTATTTTCTAAACATCGACTTTCTATCGAGCCCTTGGTATCACCTCCTCTTTTATCCTGCCACCCCATGACCCCTTGATAAATTATAAATTATTTATTATTTTCATATCTTACACCAACTGCTCTCTCTCTTCCTCCCTGGTTTCTGTTGTTCATCCCCCTGGTGTGTGTGTGTGTGTGTGTGTGTGTGTGTGTGTGTGTGTGTGTGTGTGTGTGATAATGATGTGTCGATCACTGCGATGGGGTCTCTCTTCCTCCCCACACCATCACCCTTGTTTCAAACCCTACGGATGCTCCCCTTACCTGAAGAATGCGCTTGATGTGCTGCCTCTGCATGTTGTCCCCCTCGGTGCACTCTTTCACGCCATGGGGGTAGCAGATGAGCTGCAGTAGCTTCTGCGCTTGCACGTGGGAGAGCACGGGGTCCAGGATCAGCTCTTTGTCGGTGCAGAGTCTCTCCGGCTCCCTCAAGCAGTGCTCTCCTACCCACTCCTGAAACCAACGCGCAGTTAGACCGGGAGCCTCGTGCTTTCACGGCCGTGTGCGGTATGTCGTATGTGGATGGCGTGTAAGAGGAGACAAAGCTAACAAGTATTTCAATGAGAAAAAAAACCACCTTGATATCGGTGAGAACGGTCTTACAGGGACAAAAATCTAAGCCTTTCAATCCTTAAAAATAAACTATGACAATGTGGATTGAACAAAGAAATTTTTAAAGACTGATAAGTAAAAACAATGGGAGAGAGATTCAAGGCGAGAAAACATTGGTATTTCAACTACACAATGGGGCCTGGCTTTACATACTACTTGTAACCAATTTTTTGGGAGGGGCTATCTTTTTCTTTATCTGGGCATTTAATAATAATGATTTGTATCCGCGCTTGATTTTTATACCCTAGATGGTATGCATTAGCATCATCTGCAGACCTTACTTAAATGCCGATGCTTACTTCAGCGTCTCTGGGGTAGACGTGCTATTCCTAGCACCCGGTAGGAAGGGAATGAACAGGTGGGAAGCCCTTTGCTCAGCCACTGCAGGTGGCTTAATGCTGGCGCTCCCTATGAGCAGCACCAGCAGGGGGTGGTGGCCGGTGTGAAAATCCAAATGCCCTAGCCCCACTCTATTTATTTATTTATTTTTACCAGTTTTACCGATATATAAATCACATATTAAACAAATCAATGGTTTGTTTGACTCGAAGGTATGCAATCATCACCATCATTTTAGACCATTTTCTTCATTTTTGAACTCATTATTATGAGCTCCCCATTTCCCCCTAGCGTCCTCTGCCACAACCCTGGGAAACGAATCATCTAGTGCAGCAGTTCTCAACCTGTGGGTCGCGACCCCTTTGGGGGTTGAACAACCCTTTCACAGGGATCACCTGATTCATCACAGTAGCAAAATGACAGTGATGAAGTAGCAACGAAAATAATGTTATGGCTGGGGAGTCACCACCACATGAGGAACTGTAGGAAAGGGTTGCGGCATGAGGAAGGCTGAGAACCACTGGTCTAGTCGCGTCTCTAGTTTCCAAGCCCCACTATAGTCCAATGAAATCAAACTCAATTGGTGGGACCTGGACATTAGTAAAGTTTTTTTGGGTTTTTTTTTTCAGAACTTTTTTTTTTTCTCTTAAACTTCTCCGGTGATTCCATTGTGCAACTCCAGTTGTGAAGCAGTGCGCAATGCCTTTCAACACCTAGTGTACTGCTGCTACCCACGGGGATGGCTCCAGGACACCCGGGTGTAATGCGATCCCTTCAGCGCTGTCATTACTGCCTAGCTCTGGGCTTGTGGTATGAATAAAATATTAGCATAGTACACAAAGGGCTTTAAATTTATATATAGAGAGATCTATATAACAATATATAGAGGCTTATGAAATTTAACAAGGAGCTAAATATTACGCTGTCTCTAAATGCCTTTCAAAAGATTGCTTATTATTTGCAAGAGGGAAAAATAGTAACTCTTTGTGGCGACACCTCACAGAGAGACCTGGCAGACACTAATAAGGGGGAGAAGGGTCATTGTGTGCCTTCAGATACGAGACCCTGAGAAGGACACAGCGTGATCCCCACAGCATCCTATCCAGGGACGTGTAGTCTGTGGCTGGTCCCAGACACGTCTCAACGGGGGCTTTTTGAAAGGACCGCTGGTCAGCGACTTGATGGAAAGGCCATTCCTGTCCCAGAAAAGGGCAGAGCGACTGGTTCCAGTGAACGGAAATAAGATGCAAAGCTCCTAAAAGCAAGACAGGTCAGCCTCCTGGAGGACGAATCTGGCGCCGTGATGGGCACTGTCGGGGTAACTGACAAAACTGGGACCTGCCCTGTAGACAGGACCCACGACTGTGTCAGTGTGATGTGGTCTGATTTCTGACAGCTGCATTCCGGTTATGCCTCACTCAGAAGTTTCAGAAAACGAAAGACAGACGTGATCTACTCTCAGGTGGTTAATCAAAAAGGAAAAATCACGTGTAAAACCGTACAGCAAATGTGACCGAATGTAAAAGGGGAAACAAACCAATCTGGTGTGGAGGGCGACCGAGTTCTCTTTGTGACCCTGGCACCCTTTTTGTCCATTGGAAATTAATGCCCAATAAAGTGAACGCTTATCCACAAGTTTCTATGAGTGAGCATCTTTTGTCAGAAACAGGAGTGGCTCCTTCCAAGGTCAAGGTAAACTGAAGATTACCTGTTGACAGATAGTCCTTAGTACGTATCTAGCGTATTCTCTTAAGTTGGCAGTTTCCATGGAGATGTTTTTGCCACAGGACTTTGGATTCTGGGAGGCAATCCAGATGTCATCAGCATTCCCATCGCGCCGTAAACCCCTCATGGTAAAGTCATCGTTCTTCAACGAGCTGACATTGCTGCTGCCGATTTTGGCATCTCCTACGTAACAGAATCACAGAAGCACAAGATTGCCAGGCGGTTCCAAATATTGACAAACCTTTTAGGAAGTACGCGGGGAGAGCTCTCCAGGGAGCCCGACTCGGTGAGCGGTATGGTGATGGCACAGCCAGTGGTTGTGAACAAACCAAGAGAATAATGCAAGAACCCAGAGAAATGAAAACGCACACTCAAGAAGACAGGGTCCTAACTTGCAAAGGCCGCCTGTAAGTCACAGTCAATATGCACAGAGCAATGACCTGACTAATGTCCAAGCATGACTGTATTCCACTTCTTCTCTTCCAGTGACTTATTTTCCACCCACAGCCCAAGAGAAAAGCTACACCTTAGCCCACCTTACTATCAACTTCTTGACCAGAGAGATGTATTTCCCTAGGAATGGAATAGGGCAATGCAAACGAGGGAAGCCCTGTAGAGGAGGGCATTCATCCAAGAGCCGTCTTCTGCTTTCCTCTCGGTAAACACCTCCATTAGAAAGCCCTAACTGGGCCGTCTAGAAAAATGATGTGGTGGCAGCGGGCCAGGTGGCCTCCTCTGACTGCATGAGGAGGAGGGAGCAGAGAGAATCAACTGTCACATCGACTCAAAGCTGATTCCCGTGAAGTGCAGGTCAGCGATGTCGCTTTCTCAACAGCCTTCTGACCAAGTCTAACACCTACTCCGCTGGGCTCGGGCATTGGATGCAGCGGCTGCCCGCGACTCACGGATCATACTCATGAGATTTATTAAGGAAGCGACAGGCTACAATCGGGATATCATCCAGAGAAGCTTTTGGCATGCCTCCCTGCAGGCTTCTTTGTGGCTCTAGGCCCCTGGGTCCCCTTGGCGCTGCTGTCCTGGGGCAAGTGCCACAAAGTTCCTCGGCTCTCCCCGATAAGTGCTCAGAGTCACCATACACAGTCACTGAGGCCCTGTAAGTGAGAAGGCCGGGGTCCAGCAAAGGCTGGGGGGCATCCCACTCTGTCCGCAAATCCCCTGCCTGAAGGAGCCCAGCTTTCTAGCTCTGTGGGCTGGGAAGCCCACCATGTGGTCACTGCTGCTTCTCGCCATCTGTGCCACGTCCTCTGTTCTAGCGCGCGCTCTCTCTCCTGGGTCTAGGAGGTTCCCAGGGCAGGGACCCTGGGTCCCAAAGATGTGCCCCTGGCTCTTCTTTCTTGTGGTAGTGAGAGGTCATCCCTTCCAACCTCTGGGTGGGGGTGTGCATTTTAAATCCAGACGGATGGCAAATAATTTATTTGCGTAGTCCTCCCTCCACAGGACGATGTAAACTTATTTGTGTTACTGCCAAGTTGTCCAACCCCTTTCCTGAGGCCCAAGCACCACAGATGCCACCCATACATACCCCCAAATCCTCATACATGCACACCACTCAATCATTTGGTGGGAATTATCACCTTGGTGAGAAATGCCATATAAGAGAAATCTATGATACTACATGTCTAATATACTCTGGGAAAGGACACTATTAATACTGGCTTTCCAATAGTATATAATGAAGTTGACCACATTACATTATATGGCATAAACTGGTTCAAGGTCACAGCCACTAACATTCAAGCTTAGACTTTCTGGTGTTCTAGTACTGGTTGAAATTTAAATCTTTGGTGTCTACCAGTCTATGAAGCTCAGAATAGCTGGTTAGATGACCACATTGCCCTTGACCATCCCCAAGGGGGACGTCTGTCAACCCAATAAAGACAGGACAACCCTGCAGAGCTGAGGATCGAGAGTACCCCGGAATAAGACGCCTTGCCAATAAGATGACCCCAGAAGAGAACTATGTCTACACTTCCTCAAAGACACTGTAGGTAAAAGGCAGGCTTCTCCGAGAACCTGCCTGTACTTGGACTTGGGATTTACCCAAATTAAAAAAAAATTGTTTTTAAAGGGGCCTTTCTAACCCTATGAACCAGGTGTCATCCTACATACAAGCTGTTGAGCCTCTGTTTGTAGTCATCCATCAGGAAGCTTCTGTGAAGAAGGTCTTACCAAGCATCATGATTGCTTTTAAGACAGCAAACACAGCTCCCACTTCGATGCTGTTGTGAGCAGCGGCTAAGAGGTGTCGATCACAAGATGATCTTATTCCCGGGAAAGGCTTGCCTAGGAGAACAACAGAAGAACCGTGTGACGGTCGCATCACCCCAAACACAGTCGCCTGTAAGCGCCTACAGTCTGCAGGGCCTCGCGTGGGGGCTTTGCTGCCATCAGCTAGCTCTAATGGGCGCTTCGCGTAGCCCCCAAGAAATGCTGCCAGCATTGCTTACTTAAGCTCTTCTTTTAAATGATTAAAAGGCTGTTTTTGCTCCCTAGAGAGATGCATCCAAAAGACTGGGGTGACTTGTCCTGAGTCTTATACACACAATCATAGGTCTACAGAAATGATCTTTGAGAATGGTCTTCACTCCTACCCCAAGAATTCTTACCTTGTTCCTATTCCCCGAGCAATGATGAATCCCCCATGGCCCTAAGCTGCTACGGTATGTTTATAATCAACAACCATAGCACCGTAAAAGAGGATTAAGCTGCCCACCAACATGGCTTTGCCTAACAGCACAGGCATTTTAATTGTTTATCAACTCCTGATTTGCATTTCTCAATATTTCCTGGTGTTGCACCACCAGAGAAAGGTGTTGGCAGCAGCGTGACGTTATCACCAGCCTTCCACAAGCCCCCCCCTCTCCCCCCGGAAGAAGCTCACCCAAACCTGGAGGGACTGGCCCATACGGTTATTTTAGAACCTCAATCTCCACAAGAAAGATCAATGGGAGACATCTCTGCTGTCGGCTCACCCATTGCTTGAGGTAACAGGCAGGCCTGGGGGGCCCGGAAGAGATGAAGCAGGAGTCGGCAGGTCATTCTCGCCCCCGGCTCTGCGTCGGCGTCTCCACAAGCTAGGGCGAAAGGATTTGAAAGCCAGTGTTTCTAACATACCCAAGTACACATCTATGGGATGGTTTAAAAAATTAAAAGAACATTTTATGGGGAAGGGGGCGGGGGGCGCTCTTATAACAATCCATACATCAATTGTATCAAGCATATTTGTACATAGGTTTCCATCATTATTTCTAGACATTGACTTTCTATTAAGCCCTTGGTATCAGTTCCTCTCTTTTCCCTCCCTCTCCCACCCCGGTGACCCCTTGATAACTTATAAATTGCTATTATTTTCATATCTTACACCAATCGCTGTCTCCCTTTCCCCACGGTTTATTGTTTGACTCCCTGATGGTGGGGGGGTGGGGTGATGGCTATGTGTTGATCATTGTGATGGGTTTCCCCTTCCTCCCTGCCTCTACCCTCCTTCCCCCTACCCTCCTGGTATTGCTACTCCCATTCCTGTTCCTGGATTCCATTTGTTGTGAGCTCTTATCTCTTATCTGTACCTGCATATATATATATACACACTCTGGCGCAGCCCGCAGTGAAAGGCAGGTCTGGGGTGTGAGGAAACCTAGCATGTTTCATGGTCCTCTCTGCGCCATGGTGGACACATCCCTTCACTGTGGCCCTTCTCTGAGGGATGTCCTGTCTACAGATGGGTCTTGGGTCTCTGCCCCGACCCCCCTCGCGCTCAACCCTGTGGCTTCCGATTGTTGGTTTGGGGTCTGCTACAGGAGTTCTCATGAAGCATGTTTGGCTGGGATCATGGACACGCATGTGATTTGCGGTGAAAAGCAGGCCACAAGCTGTACTCTTCCGAGAAACCTGGCCGCTCCCCTAAAAGATAACAGTCGCTTCCAATTGTTTCCGAGTTCTGCGCTGAGAAGCACAGACCCTGCTCCTCCGCCTGATGCCACCCGGCTTCCCAAGGCACGCACCCGACGTACGACTTTCACGGTGCGCCCTGACGCACTACGTGCGCAGTCTTTTCCCGAGGGGGCACCACCCCACCATGGGGGCGATCGGAAAGTCAGGGTGTGTCAGAGGCCGCCTTACCTGCCGCTAGGAGAGAGGGCAGAGCCACATGCTGCACGACGTCCTCCAGGGAGAAACACTGTCGTGCTATCAGAATAGCAATGAAAGTAGCTAATGAATCATGGAATGAAAGGTCACTCACCTTCAAGAGAAACATTGACACGTTTTAATACCCCAAACCCTCTCGGATCAGATCTAAGATCAATACCTAAGAGAACGTAGCCAATACCAGTACGAGCTCAAATCCCAAAGCGAACCAGTAAGAGTTACATAACGTCTTATGATTATTATCTTCTACTGTCTTCCCCTGAGGAGGAGGCCTTGGCATGGAGCCAGGGGTTACGCCAACGGGCTGCACATCGCAAGGCTGGTGGTTCAAAGCCACCAAGACTCCACAGGAGGAAGAGGAGGCTGCCTGTTGTCTCAGAGCCTCTCTGGAGCGGTCCCACTCGGGTCTCTAGGCTATCAATGAGCCGGCATAGCCTTTAAAGGCAGTCAGTGGGTCTGTCCCTGCTAGGGAGTGCCTGAGTGACCCCGGTAAGTGCTTCCTTCTCAAAAGACAGGCAGCTCCAACCCCCCAGAGTGCCCTTGGACGATGGCCCTAATGGTCTGCTTCCGGAAGGTCTGAGCTTACGGAGGGTTCTACCCTGCAGACGCGGGGTCATCGTGAGCCAGGGGTGTCTTGGCGGCAGCTCACAACAAAAGGCCTGTGTCTATTTTATGAGGCAAAAAGTGAGGTTATCCCAGGTTCCATTCCTATGAGAAGACAGTGAGTTTTGTTGTGCGTGTACTTAATTGAAAGGGAGAAAACAACAACAAAGCAAGTTAAGAGTCTAAAAATCCCTGAAAGGTGAAGCGTCATGAACACCTCTCAGTGGCAACACAGCGGGCCATTATGAGGAAGAACATTAGGAAGCAGGGGAGGCACAGGCAGCACCTGTGGCTGAAAATGAAGTCTTGCTAATGCTCCAAAATCCCTGGCAGGGAGAACACATCGTGATCTACAGTAGTTAACTAGCTCTCAGGGCAACTCTGAATGGTTCCCGCTGACTGCTTAAATTCAAATAATAGTAAAGGCCAGACCAGAAAGAGTAGGAAAAGATTCAACGGTGAAGAATAACTTTACACAATTCACAAGACGGTGGCAAAAAGGCACAATCGTGGTCATCAGAGCAGACTACACACTGAGTCGTGCTACATGCCAGCCACCGTGCTTGTCAAGGTACAAACACCCACTCGTCTGGCAACACAATGCTATGACGAGGACCACACTGCTACCAGTGCCACTTTCACAGATGACGGAATCCAGCAGCAGAGGAGGGTAGCCACAAAAAACCCCACAACCGAAGGGTTAAAGAAATGGTGCCAGATAAAGATGAACATTTAGGCCTTTTCTGTCTGGGGATGGGATGAGTGAAAACCACAGACACACGTAGACACACACAACCTTCAACAGATTACCCACAGAATGGCTATGTGATTGTTCGCCTAGTCTTGGGACAGCAGGTTGAGGGAGCAAACCTTCCAGGGGAAGACAATTCAAAACAGGGCATACAGTTCTTCTAAACAAAAGTCACATGAGCTTTATGGCATGTCTTCCCTGTGCTTCCAGCAGGTGGATAGTAAGAACCAAGACAGGTGGCTAAGAAATCCTCCCATGAGGAATACAATGGGAATGTTCTGGAAGTCCGTGTTGCGTACAGCTATTTCTTCGCTGCCTTCCGATCCAATCACTAAGGGAGTTTGGACACCCTTGTTTAACGCAGGCCTAGCCATTCTTACGCAGCATGGAAACCGCGTACTTGGCACTGTTTTAAAAGGCAGGGCGGTTGTAGTTAGATCACATACCGTGCTATGAAGAAGCTCAGGCACTTAGTAAATATGACCAAGGAGCTCTGAAATGACCCAGTTACAACGGAAATTTTAGGAAACTAGAAGCCTCTTGGAATTTTGGCAATAGTTTAAGGTATTCAGTGCAACCCCCTTCCACTCTCCCCCACCCCTTCCCAATTTGATTCGTCCTTGGCAACTTCACTGTTTTATAGCTTTGGGGGAAAGAAAAGAAAGAAAAGAAAAAAGAGTATAACATTTCATTGAAGGGCTGAGCCACTTTCAAACAAACGAATGGAACATATAAAATTACCCACTATCAAAATATGGCAATGCACAGTTGACTTTTGGGGGGTGGGGTGGAGGATTTTAAAAATGAAGTCAAAAACTTACATCGACGGTGCAGAGCACGTCGTTAAAGCCCCACACGTGATTGGAGGAGCAGCAGAGAGCCTTCAGCACGCCCAGCCACTCTGAGCTGAGCACAGGGCAGCACGCCGTCAGCTCAGAGGAGAAGTTGGCTATGTCATTAGTCCTAGGAAATGAAAAGACCATTCCAGAGCGCGGCCTTGCACCAAAGGTGCTTAAACACACAGTGTAACATATGACCACATAATAACAACTTGTGAGTCATGAAGGGTTCATGAGGAAGGGGTAGGGGGGGAAATGAGCAGCCGATATTAAGGGCTCAAGTGGAAGGCAAGTGTTTTGAGAATGATGAGGGCAACAAATGTACATATGTGCTTGACAAAATGGATGTATGTATGGATTGTGATGAGAATTGTACGAGCCCCCAATAAAAAAACAAAAACAAAACCAAAAAACTGCGTATTTTGCTATCATCGCCAAAGTGACTTTTTCTGAGATTCAAAGATGCAATAAATGCCCACCTGTCAAATCAGCTAGTAGGAGAACTTGGGGGGCAAGATCTAAGTAAATGACTTTAAATTTCTTCTAATGTGTAAGGCTTGTAAGCAACAAACAACAGTTAGTATGGACGTGAATTAGCATGTGTTCAGTTCCTTGACCATGAATCTGATGGACAGTCACATGCAGTCAACCCTTTATGAGGGCTCAAGAGAGAACGAAAACTGAAGTAACTCAGCTCCATCCAAAGATGGCTTTATTAAATACATAGTGGCGTTTTATTTTGTTTTTGTTAGGTGTTTTGGCAAATGGATAGGTCAACAGACCATGTGTAAAGCACCTCATGATAGAGTAGGGGTGGAGAACATCTGGCCTGTGCAATCATAAATATCAGCTAAGGAAGATCAGCCCCCCATCCCTCACCCTCACCCCAAAGCAGCAGTTCCAGCATCACATGAAGGCTGAGTTAATTAAATGTTTGACAGGATGGCCCGGGAATCATGCTGTGACTATCCAAATGGGCTTTGGTGGCAGCGAAAAGGTTCTCCACCCCTGGATTGAACAATAGGCCAGAGAGTGCTGCCTCATGGGTTAAGTCAATTATAGGGTGCACCAGAGCTAAATTCAGGAATAAAGGAAGATGAAATGCCGCAGATGGCAGCCAATTGTCTGCCCAGGTGATTACGAAAGACCTTAATTTCAAAGCAGGGATCTAAACAGCTGTGCTTTGATTAATCACAAATGCCAAGATAACCCATCTTACCTGCCAGCGTCCTGATGGCCCATACATACATTCATGAGTGTGTTGCAGACAAAGCTGTAGCGATTAGCAGCATTGTCACTAAGGATCTTGCCCAGCATGGAGTAGTTGATGGCGTGGGCCGATGGGTTCTCAATGAAGTCCAGCATGAAGTCGGGATCCCACCGCAGATTGGAATTTGCAGGCATCACATTAGTATATATGGTTTGCTTTACTTTTGAACAGGCACTACTGAGGTTATAAGAAGGAGAGTTAAAAAAACAACACAACTAGAATAACTAGCAAAACACAGAAGCAATCGTAATGCGTTATTAGAAAAGATTCACATTTGGAGCTCTTAAGTGGGACTGAAAGATTGGCACTTAGCGCGGGGCCTGAAACAGTAGTTGGTCCATCATTAGTTGCTGACTGGTTAGAAACACGGAAGGATGATACCTGGTCACTCATATTCAATATTCTCTCTTCTAAATGTGCTAAAAATCAAAGGTTTCACTAGGCTTCAAAACACTGTCCCTCGGCAGTGGTCAAAAAACAAGACTGCTTAAGAATGACAAAGGACTCAATCATACTCCGGGAGTCATTCGGTGCTTTGGTCTTAATTATACATCCTGCCAAATTCCTTCTCGGGGGACAGTGTGTCAGGGAAGCTTGTGTGAATGTCACTCTGGGCCCGGAGAGACAGCTGTGGAAAGGTCCCGACCTTCCCGGGGCTCAGACGGCAGCTTCCATGAAGCATGCACATTTTACAAGGGTGAGATGAAGCCACCACGGCGCTCCTGGAAAGAGCCCCAGTGGCCCCGTGGGTTAAGCAGTCGGTCAATAACCTCAAGGCTCATGGTTCAAACCCATCAGCTGCTCTTTAGGAAAAAGGTGAGGCCCCCTGCTCTGGTCACAATGTATAGCCTCAGAAACCCACCGGAGGAATTTTTCCCTGTTCTGGAGGGTCTCTTCGAGTTAGGAGTCAAATTCAATGTACTGGGTTGGGTTGGAACATGGCCCCCCCAAACGAATTATGGTTCTCAACAGTTCTAAAGGCCTTTTTTAAGAGGCTGCCCTCCTAAGAAAGGAGCCCTGGCGGTGGTGTGTGCTATGAATTGGGCAGTTAACCGACAGGTCAGAGGTTCAAATCTAGAGACACACCTCCAGAAAAAAGATGAGGTTTCCTGCTTTGGTAAAGACATACTGCCTGGGAACCCGAAGGAGTTCTCCTTTGCCCCGTCAGGTCCCTATGAGTCGGAATCAACACCCGGGAAATGGTGATGGGTTTTTGTTATATTTTGGTCTAGCACACATGAGCATGGTTCCTTCCAGTGAGTTAGAGCTAAATACGATGTGGAATTTTTGAAGCACCTGGGAGTTAGAAAGCACATAATCCAATTTTGTTCTGTCCAGAGGGGCACGGGTGACTCAGGACTCCTCTCCTAGACCAAAAGTGGGCACTCCGAGTTCACCCAGAAGTAACTCAGGAGACAGGGCTAGCGGTCTGTTCCTGCAAGGTCACAGGCCTGGAGCCAACACTACTATTCTGCACAATGGGGGTGGGGTTAGAAGGAACTGGCCTGAAGGCAGCTGACAACGAGTTTCTCCCACAACCCATCTCTGTTGCTGAGCGGAAAGGATGGCTGCCTAATTCCACAGCTTGGGTTCCATAGAAACTCAGCTGGGCTTGGCGACTGGCAGTGGGAACCAAATCACAAGCAGCGTCTGCCTTCCCAACTCAAGGGCCAGTTTCTATACCTGGTCTCAGCAGCAAACGTCTTGTGGTGACTGAGGTGACAGAGGGGCTTCGTTCACCCCTGAGAACAGCCATGAGTAAAGCTGTGTGAATAGTAGACAGACGCAATTACCCCAAAAATCACTCCCCCCGACCCCTGCTGACTAAATGCGTTAAGAAAACAGATTGCAGAATTTGATGAGCACCCAACTGTGATGTCAGACTGCTCCTATCAAAACCACTGCAGGGGTCTATGAAAAAGCCAAGCTTCCCTTGAATTGCACAAGTGTGCATGTTTAACAAGCTCTTCCAGATAAATCTAATGCCAACTCATGCTTGGAGTGCAAACAGAAGTACAGTCACCCATTCATGAGTTGCAAGTCTGTAATCTTGGATCTCCATCCTTAAGCGCTTCGATTCTTCTCTGCTGTCAGCAAGCGAGGCTGGGGATATCTGCATATTGCAGGTGGTCAACGAGCCTTCCTCCAATCCTTGGGTCGTGTTCGTCTTCCTATGGTCCGCCTTCTCTGACTGTCCCCAGGAGACCGACTAGGGAAGTAGGGTGGAAGGATACAACCTGGGCACACACCTTTTCTGGTTGTCAACCATATGGTATTCTCTTGTTCTGCTCCAATGGCTGCCTCCTGGTTGGCGTCCAGCACAGTGCCCTGTTCCATGCTGCTCTTTGCAATGCGATCAACACTCAGTTATGACACACACATCAGTGCCTTTGCAGTCGATAAAGCAGAGATGACCCTCTTCCTGGTATTCTCTGCTTATAGGGAAGACCTGCCTTCCATAATCTTGTCCGAATCTGAATTGGATTTCTGTACTACAGTGATGTACCCGTTGAAGCTGCTTTCTGAATTGCTGCTAGCATTATTCTTACCTGCCTAAAAACTCATCACTAGAAATGACCACTGGCTGAGAGACATACAGGTACTCATTTTTACTTCCTGGGGTGGTTGTGACCATTCAAGATCCTTATCTGCCAGTGTTCTGACACAGCACAGTGAGTGGCTCACAGCAGTAGCTCTGGACGCGAGACACACGAGACACACGACTGGGTGTGGGAGTTGTTCCTCCTGCAATTTCCAGGCCGGTGTTTCAGAGGCAACCACCATCGTTTTACGAGTACACAAGTAGATCTCATTCTGTTCCATCTACTTTCCCCGTTATCTTTCCCACCCCCCTTAATTCCAAACGACAAACCTATGCCTCATTTAAGAGATTCCCCTCCCAAAGTTCCATTTCACTTCCATGTCATCCATGGAATGAGACCTTTAGACAGTCTCTTTCCCAGGGTGCACCGCTTTGTGGAGCCTACGTAAGCCCTCTGTCCACACCTTCAGTGCATGTTACTAGATTAACTCCCAGGCCTATTGGCACTACAGTGTAAGGAGTGGTAGGTGGTAAAACAGGCTACTGGCGCTGTGCTGGGAACATCAACCGATTTCGATACTGTGCTTAACACATACCAAATAGAGGTCAAAGCATTAGCTATAGCCATGGAAAAATTAGGGAATTTGTATTTTAAGGGAAAATCGGAACATTCATATATATATACACAGTAGCAAGAGATAAAGAGCAGAGAGGACGAGCTAGCTGCTTTTAGAAAGGTGGTCAGAGGCGCGGTGGGGTGGTGAGCGCAGCAGGGATAACCAGACGCAGGGGGAGAGTATTCCAAGGAGGATCGATTGTGGCAAGCCCAGAGCCCCTTGGGTGGAGTGTGCGTAGAGTGCTGAGGGCCAGCATGTGGCGAGAATGGAGCAAGCGATCAAGGTGGGAAGAGGTAGAAGAGGAGGCCTGATCTTGGGGCTCCTGAAGGCTGGGTAAAGACTTTCAACGTTTCTGTTGCGCACGTGGGGCTTTCTCTCTGTTTTTGGTAGGTTCTGAATGCTCCTTGTTTCTCTTTTTGATGAACTTTTTTTTACTGCTGCTGACAAGAGACCGATCAAAGAGTACACCGAGTTAGCAAGTTCTATGTTTCACGCAGCGACTCCTTCCTTTAAGATGTGCAACTATTCTCATCTTCCTGGTTCCAACTGTTCATCCCCCACTGACTTACCTCACGGCACTCCCCGACCTCAGCCCCACGAGCTCCCTACTAATCTTCCTGTGACCGCTGTCACAGAGCCATTTAAAAGAGCACAGTGCTCCAGGCAGACATCTTGGCTGAGGGAGCGGACTTCCTGGATACTGGGAGTATGCTCAAGAGAGTCAGGGATCAAAGCAGGAACAGCAGCCGGAAGGAGCAATGTTCTAAGCAAGAGATGGCCAGGGGGCAGGGATATTCGTGGTGGGAAGTGGTCAGGCTCTGGACAGGAAGTGGAATTCCACCGTAGGTGGAATTTTGAATATAAAATGACTGCCAAACAAACCAGATATAAGGGACGAGGGAATAAAGAAAACCATAATTGATCGCTCTCTATCTTTTTCTAGATCAGGGGTTCTCAACCTTCCTAATGCCGCGACCCTTTCATACAGTTCCTCATGTGGTGGTGACCCCCAACCATAATATGATTTTCGTGGCTACTGCATCACTGTCATTTTGCTGCTGTTAGGAATTGGGCAACCCCTGTGAAAGGGTTGTTCGACCCCCAAAGAGGTCACGAGCCCCAGGTTGGGAACCGCTGTTCTGGATTCTAATTCTGTTGTTGTTGGCTGTTACCTTCTTCCTTCCTTCTATGATAATGTGCGAGTCCTCAATATAATACCCAATATTAATTTTCCAGCACCTGTGAGTAGCAGGTACTAAGACATGGTGAATGACACGGAAAAGGGGGAGTGTTTGAAATAAAACGGGTCGGAAAGCAGACGCAATGAGTTAGGAACCAGTGTTCCACATGAGAGCTGAGTATTTTCTCCTAGACCTATCTTAAAATTGCAACCATAGCTGAACATGCACAGACATTTGTAATAGGAAGTTACAGGTGCAGCAACAGGCAATTCAATGTGAATTCTAGCAAGAGGAGACAAGGATACATCTACCCTACATACTCGAGTATAAGCCGACCGGAGTATCAGCTGAGAAACCTAATTTTACCACAAAAACGGCATTAAAAATGTGCTGAAAAACTGGGCTTGTACATGAGGATATGCGGTATTTATGAAGCTGAAAAGTTAATACTTCAGTACTGCAAGGTTCCCTGAGAAGTAAGACGGACAGGAATTAAATGTCATGGCCAGACGAAGATTGCCTTTAACATCTAACAGAATAAGTCCGTTCACTGCAGAATTTACATGGTTTCTCATAGCTAACCCAGTTATGCTTTCTTCAGAGAAAGACACCCAGTGGATGGTCCTTAACAAGTTGACCTTGAATGAAATACTGCCTAGACCACAAAGCAGAGTGAACTTCTACTTTCAGCACACACAGAATTAACACGCCACCTCAGCTGAAAAGGCAACCTGAAAATATCGACACCTAAAAAGGGCTTCACTAAGAAATGAATTAATTTTTGTAACAAATACAATTCCCTAAAGTTGTAACTGAAGCTAGAGACACTTTGGGGAGCCCACTGGGTAGCAAATGTTTTGCAACTCAGAACCAAGAATACCAGGGCCACCAAAATGAAGCATCAAAGGTTAGCCCAAAACTGGCTAGAAAATTCACAAGGGCTAGTAACACTTATTATTCAAATTTAATTGAAAATGTAAAAAACATAAGAACACGCAGAGTAGGAATGATTAATTCAGTATAACTTATCTAAAATGTACCAGGTCTGTGTATCGGAGCCCTGCTGGCACGGCGCTGAAGTGCTTGGCTCATGACCACTAGGTTAGTGGCTTCAACCCACAAGCAGCAGTGCAGACGAGGGAGGTGGCAGTCAGCTTATGTTAAGATGCACAGCCTGGGGCCCCGATAGACCCCCTCTACACTGTCCTAAAGGGGCGGTGTGGCTTAGCATCCACTTAATGGCATAGAATGTGGGTTGTTTGTTATGTCTACACACTTACCCACAGAGCAAACACAGAATGGAAACCCAGCAACAAAACCCCACTGTCATGGAGTCGAGTCCAACCCAGCGCTCTAAAGCTAGTACCGTTCTCCCCAACCCTTTTCCCTCTACAGAGATCCTATAGACCCCTACAGAGACCCTATAGAACAGAGTGGGAACGCCTCGTCTTTCTCCTTCAGAATCGTGAGAAGCAATCCTTTATTTGTTGAAGACAGGAAATTTGTCAGAGTTAAGTACTCAATGACAGGAAGTTACTTCCATTGTGTGTGTGTGTGTGTGTGTGTGTGTGTGTGTGCGCGCGTAGGGGAAGCCCTAGGATCACATACTTGCCAGTGCTCTATCTCTAACTGTCCCGTGTGCATGTTCACACGTGGGTTTTACGACATCTCGGGTATATGAAAGTGACTGCCTGGCAGACAGACGCTACAGTGAACCTGCATCGAGGAAAAAGGCGGCGGTGTCACTAGTGAACAGGCCTGGTGGCATCCCTCGGTTAGGGGCTTCCTGGCACCCACCTGAAGAGGTCTCCGAATTTGCTTCTGAGGTGGCTGCACGACACGTAGAGGTCATAGAGGTAGGCCAGGATGCACCTTTCTGGGGACGAGCATTCTGAGGGGTTGGCCACATGTTTGACCACACCACACAACCTGAGATGGAAAAGAGAGGGGGGCATTAGACGCGCCGCTTCTAACGCTCGAAGTGTCGCGTGCGTCTTCAGAACTGAGAACGTGCGCACGCTCTACTAAGGTAAGGCACGAGAGGGGGCTACGCAACGGAAATGCACGCTAGCCAGAGTGAGTGGGTGTGGCATTTGTTTTCTATTATGATATCGAACTTATAGAAGTATATATATGTATACATATATACACACACATACATATCTACA